TGGTTAAAAATCCATTAATTAAAAAATTTTTTTTCCATTGTTCGCATGATTTTAATAATGTTTGAAAATCAGGAAATTAAGAAATTGATTTCCTATATGATTTCCAAGATTTCAGCAATGATGGAAAATCAGTAAAATTAAAAAATTAATATTCCAATGGTTTGCAAGATTTTTAGATTTTCGTGGTGCATATTTAACAATATTTTATACTTATAAATTAAGTATATATATATATATATATATATATATATATATATATATATATATATATATATATGAGTAACTCGAGGTCAACTGTGTCAACAAATTTTCATTGATTTTCTAAAATGTTAAAACTTTTATGAAAATATGTAGTTTATAATAAAATAAAAAAACTCTTTTAACCATTTTTTGAAATTTTAAATTTTTGTTTTTTTTTGCATAAACAAAATTTTACAAAATTTTAAAGAAAACTTAATAACTCAACTACCGTTTGCAATAAATTAATGAAACAAGATTTAATAGCAGGATATTCAATATTTTAATTCTAAATTATAATAATTGTAATATTTTGTAAATATAATTGCAAAAAATATTTAGTCTTTTAACACTCTATAGGGTACATAAATAGCCGACAAAAAGTCGTGTTGTGACACCTTTTTCGACAGGGCAAATTTGAGTGTTCAGTACAAAAAAAGTAATTAATTTAATTTAAGTATTACTGGGTATTCTTAGGTTTTTTGGGTCGCTGATTACAAATCAGCCGTCAGATTTGGAAAATTCAAAATGGCGGATCGAATATGGTGGACGAATTTTCAAAAATTAAACATATTTGTTTGAAAATCGTTACTCAGGGGTTTTCGAGATCGCTAATTTCGAATTTAAAGTCAGTTTTTCAATATTCAAAATGGCGGATCCAATATGGTGGACAAATTTTAAAAAAATTAAACATACTATTTGCTTGAAAATCGTTACTCGGGGGTCTTTGAGGTCGCTGATAAAGAATCCGGTGTCCGTTTTTCAAAATTCAAAATGGCAGATCTAGTATAGAGGATGATATTTTAAATAATCGTTCGAATTCGTTTGAAAATACTTACAGGAAAATTAAAAATCAATATTTGTATACAATTTACTAATATCAGATTTGTAATCAGCGACCCCAAAAACCCCCGAGTAACTATTTTCAAGCGATACCGAACGATTTTTTTAAAATTCTTCCGCCATATTGGGTCGGACATTTTGAATTTTGTAAAAAGAACACCGGATTCGTAATCAGCGACCCCGAAAACCGCCGAGTAACGATTTTCAAACGAATATGTTGAAGTACATGAAAAACAAGAAGGGGGTCCTTTATGTTTATTTCATAAACATTATGCTTCCTCATTATGTGAAGCAAAAAATTCGCTTCCTCGTGAAGGAAGCAATGAATTTGTCCAATTCAATTGATCGATTTAAAAAATTTCGAGTTAAAAATGTTTTAAATTAATTAAATTTTTTGAAAAATAAAGAAAATTTTAATTAATTTTGAGTGTAAATAAACTTTATATATACGAATCGATTCGTTTTAATGCAAGGAATACAATTATTTTATTCATCAACTTGAATTTTAAAAAAACACAAAATTTTTTAGCTAAAATATGAATTTTCGATTTTTCAATTTTTATTAATTCTCAAATTTTCAATCAAATCTATACTTTATATATACCAACCAATTCGTTTCAATGCAGGGAATAAAATTATTTCATATATAAACATGAATTTAAATAAACACATCATTTTTTAGCTAATATGAGAATTTTTGATTTTTTAACTTTCATTAATTCTTTAAATTTCAATCAAATCTATATATCAATCGATTCATCTTGACATAAAGAAGACGATTATATTATATATTACCTTAAATTTTTCAATTAAAAAAAAATTTTTGGAAAAAAGACGATAAAATTTTTTTTTGGGGTATTTTTAAAAATCCTCTCGTCATTTTTGAGAGATTAATGTATTAAATAAGCCTACCAAATTTTACCCAAATCCATTAAAACCTGTTAAAGATATCGTGTTCACAAAAACTATCCACACACACATACACACACACATACATACATCCGGACAATTGATCAGGATCTCATATAACATGTTTCTATATAGAGGAAAATTTGTTTTCACCATTTTTAAAAATTTTATAAACGAAAGGACTACATAGCTTCCTCCACGAGGAAGCAAAAAGTTGTTTGGGTCCGAGGGACCCAGCTCAGGCACACAAGGGATAAGTATAATTGTTTTATATTTCGTACATTAAAATAAACTTAGATTATTACTTTCGAGATAAGTGCAAGAATTTTTTTTGTTCCGATCAAAAATACACGGCAATATCACCAAGTTTCCCAAAAAAACAAGATAACACTTGAATTTAAAATTTTTTCAAAATCAACTTATTCAGTGACACATGTTATTGCTTAAATTAAGTTATTTTTATATATTATATAATTTTAAATTAAAATAATAAGTAAATTCACAAATTCACAACCCTTCTCACGGTAATATGGTGCGCCGCTTGGCGTGCGTCACAATAAAAAATTTGTTTAATACACTTCTAGTGGAAAATAAAAATTTTTTCTTTTTGGTACTTAAAGAGGGGTAGATTCAGAGAGGTAGAACACATAAATAATGTAAATTGTTTATAAAATTGTTATTAAAAATATCGAATTTTTAGGTTTACAATTTTGCAATTATATTCATTGAAAAAAGGGTAATTTTTTATATAATCAGTATAAGTTTCATTAATTTATTGCTAACGGTTGTTGAGTTATTAGTTTTTATTTAAAATATTGTAAAATATTGTTTATGCAAAAAAAACTATCAAAAATTGAACATTTCAAAAATCGGTTAAAAGTGTTTTTTTGTTTTATTATAAACTACAGATTTTCATAAAAGTTTTAAAATTTTAGAAAATTAATGAAAATTTGTTGACACGGTTAACCTGGAGTTACATTCTTATTTTAAGAATAATGTATACTGAGTTTAAGTATATAAAATATTCTTAAATATGCGCCACTAATATATTCTTAATTTCAGTTAACAGTTTTTGTGTGTGTACTAATATTGTACAATACGAATTGTTATTTTAAAAAATAATTTGTACCTACAATAAATTTTTATAGAGATAATAAATTTTCTTCACTTTCTTATTAAACTCTTCAATTTTAATACACTCAAAGTGATTGTAAATTTAATAATACATATTTTGCATACGATGCTGAAATTAATACATATAAATCGGTAATTATTACAGATATAAAATTTCTCTGGAATCATCAATTAAAATTTCTTCTTTTAATAATTATATAAAAGTCTTTATTCTTTCATTACAATAATAATTTTGCTGACTTATAACAAAAGTGACACTACCCATAAATGAAACTTACCGATTGTCTCGAAATTGATTGTTATTATACATATATGCAGTGTATTAACTTAAACTCTTAGGACATTTGAAGAGGCGCATGATTTTTCCCAAAAATTAAAAAGTTCGAAATTTTAATTGATCGAATTACTTTAAGTCGATATTTTATTTGGTCGAAATTCTAAAAGAACGATAGTTTTGAAAGTCGACATTTTATTTAGTCGAGATTTTATTTGACCGTAATTCTAAATGATCGATATTTAAAATGGTCGACATTTTATTTAGACGATATTTTATTTGGTCGAAATTTTAAATGATCGACATTTAAAGTGGTCGAAATTTTATTAGTTCGATATTTTGTTTAGTCGATATTCTAAATGATCCACATTTAAAGTGGTCGATATTTTATTTGTTCGATATTCTAAATGATAGAAATTTAGAAGCATCGAATTTTATATCCATCGAAATTTAATTTGGTCGATATTTTAAAAGCTCGACATTTGTTTAGCTGTCGACCACTTTAAATATCGACCATTTAGATTTTCGATCAAATAAAATATCGACTAAATAAAATGTCGACCATTTTAAATATTGACCATTTAAAATTTCGACCAAATAAAATATCGACTAAATAAATTGTTGACCACTTTATATATTGATCATTTAGAATTTTGAATAAACAAAATATCGACCAAATAAAATGTTGACCATTTTAAATATCGATCATTTAGAATTTCGTTCAAATAAAATATCGACTTAATGTAATTCGATCAATTAAATTTTCGACCTTTTTAATTTTTTGGGAAAAATCATGCGCCTCCATTTAAAGCTTCTGGGAAGTTAACGGGTAGTTAACAGTGTTAAGTTCCGATCTTATGGCTGTTAACTTCTTGCAAACTTTGGTGCTATCTGGGGGTAATTTTTCTTTCCATTATCAGATAAAATAAACTACTGGTAATAATTAATAAAATTTACATTTTAAAATATACCTATATGTAGAAATAATTCGTAAACTTTTAATATTAATTTAATTAAACTATAAATTAACTATATTCCAATTATATCAAAGTGACCGAATACTGGGTATTTCATTTTTCCTCATTGTGTGGAATTATTCCTAAAATTGGCCAATTTGGAGAATGATAGAATCCAGCGAATGTAAGTAGATTACAGTTATGTGGAAATTATATTCTTTCAGTAGACACTACACTTTGGTTTGAATTTTTTATGAGTTTACCCATTTTACCTCCCATTATTATCAAAAGTAAATTCAATTATATAATATTACATCTAATGTCAACACAGCTTTAAACCCGACTGCATGTTGTGTATAGAGTAAATTTTATAGTTATCAAAATATATTTTATAAATTTCTCAAGAAACAAGATTTTTAAAAATTTTAATTACTTTTTCAAAAATTTTTTGAAATCTGAATAATAAAAATTATTATTTTTTATTTCACATTTTTTGGCAAATAGTAAAAAAAAATTTCGTCTATCAATGCTTGAAAAATTGTGTTGAATTCAATTAGATAAAGAAAATTAAATTAATTTTCAGAAGTAAATGTTTCTTCAAATTTGGAAATGATTGGGAATATTAAAATAAATAAAAGATTTTTTTTTATTACAATGTCGATATATTTATGTACAAAAAAAATTTGAATGCATTATACAATTATTAACTCTCCGTATCATCGATTCGTAAAAATAATTACCTTCCATATTGAATTAATTAAAATATTAAGTCATGGTGCAACTTAACCGGCTTAGTGAAGGTAGATATTGACTATTTCCTTCTTGAATTAAAAAAAAATCGCTCTCTGGTTTCTATAATACATAGTTTTAAAGTTTAACATAGGACAGCTCTTTGATTAGAACCACTTCAAATTTCCAAAAAGCAATTTTCAATTTTTTTCTTTACTAAAATTCATATTTCGCATTATTAATAAATTTCATAAAAATGTTCATATTTCGTAAATTTATTTTCATATATATATATATATTTACTTTTTTTAAAAATTCATTTTAATTTAAATTTATATTTAAATGAATCGCAATTATTAATGAATCACCTAATGAAAAATTCATTTTGCAAAAATACTTTATAGATTTTAAAGCTTTAAATTCCTATCTAAAATCTTTATTTTCTCGAACAATGAATTTTATAAATATTTTATATAACTAAAATAGATTAAAATTCAAAACTTCGAGACAATATACAATAATAACAATTAATCTTGTTTTTTTTTTTTTTTGTCTTTCTCATAAATATTCGACAATTTTCTAATATAATAATAATCAGTCAAGAGAAATTTGTTTTTTTTTTCTCTCTATTTTTCGGTTTTTCATTTCTTGAATTTTTTTTTTTTTTTTTAGACAAAACGGAATTTTTTTTGCGTTTTTTAAATGAAAAAATTAATTAAACTTTGCCAAGAAATGATCTTTGATGGAAAAATTAACTGATAAATTAAAGACTAGAAATTCTAACGATAAAACTGCCTCAATAAATGGAACAACAAAAATTTAATTTGATTAAAATATAATCTATATTGTAATTATTAATTTTTCAAAAATTTGATGTGGTCCCTTTTTTTAAATACCACTCTTAGACACTAATTTTGTATACAATGACTTTGTATAAAGTAGTTTTTCTTCTTCTTCTACGGCTTACGACAAACATTAATGTCGATTTTTTTTCGAAAAAACAAAAAAAAAAAAAAGAATTATAAAATTACAACTTTTTACATTTAGAGGTACGATTCGGCCTAAGGACACTTATTTCATTAAATTAAGTATCGTCTTTAAAATTCATTTATATATATATATAAAAAAAAAATTATATTATCTACGCAGACATAAATACAAATTTACAAATTCTTAAATACATTATTAAAAATCGAGGAGAATTCATGAAATAAATAATAAATATATTTGAAATTACAATCACTCGAGTCACAATCATTCATTATTGTTGGCATAAAATAAATAAGGTGCTACATTTTCTTTTTTGTAGTCCTGTCACTTAATGGCATTTTTCTTTAGTTATTTTCTTTTTAATTCTTATTTCACGCCTTTTCACTTTATAATACAAGTTTCACATTTTTATTTTTAAAAAAAAAACAAACATCTTTCAAGTACTTTTTGCCAAAGAAAACGCAACCCTAAAACCGAAATATTGACATAAATATTTTTTTTTCAACCAATATTTTCTATTAATTTTAAAAATATGAATTTTTTAAAAAATGAAAATTTTGAAATATCGATTTATTTAATTAAATTAAATTGGAAAGTGAGGGAAAAATAATTTTTAAATATGAACAAAAATTCATTGGTTCTTTTTAGAAAACACAAAATTCTTTGCAATTTTTTTTTTCTCGAGAATATTTAGTACTGTACGGTTTTAAGTTTGAGATTTTATTTTTTTTCAGACAAATTCTATTCTACTCTGAAGTCCTTGAAAACGAACTCGATACTGCCATTGGTAACAAAAATTTTAACTAGTTTCGCACCTCTTTCTAAAAACTAAAATATATTTACATTTCTCGACCTCACAAGGTCTTCGTTGACATAAATCTTTCTTCAAGATTCAGAAATTTACAGGAAAAATTAAAAGAAAAAATAATAATAAAAAAAAAAAAAAAACAACACAAGAACTTTTATTTTACAAAAAATTTGTTCAAAATAGGCTTTCAAAAATTGACAATGTACTTCAAGTTGTAAACGTTTATGTGAAGAAAATTAAAAAATTTAATTTCTTCGTTTTAAAGAATAAAAAATTTTTTTTACTACATTTATTACTTTAAAACAAAAATTAATTGGCATTTGCATATTTTTACAAGCATGCCTTTTGTGAAAAATTATTCAAATTTTTTCTGATTTTCATAAATTTTCTATTTTTCAAAAAAAAATATTTTTCCTAGGAAAAATATAAAGATAAAATTTTCACACATATGTTTATAACTTGAATACAATTTGTTTAAAAAAAAATATTTCACATTAAATGCAAATTTTGTTAATTTTCAAAAAAAAAAAAATTACAATCACGGAACACGGGAAATTGTAATTTTTGGTCACGTGCCGCTTAAAATGGCCGCCGTTAACAAGAACAGCTGATCTCACATCTTCCAAAAATCGAAGAATATATAACGACGTTTTTCTAGTATAGTTCCAGAAAAAATTTCTCATTTACAGAGAAACGCACATACAGAAAATATCTGACAAAATAGTTTCATTTTTTTTTTTCAAAAGTTGTTCAATTTTGTTTTGAACCTCTTTTTTTAAAGCTTCTTTTTTTTTTGAAAAAGAGACTTTCACTTCTTCTTCTATTTTTCTCTTTTTTTTAGAAAAAAAGCTTCGAATATTTAAAGAGAGCTTCTTTTTTTCTTGAGGGATTTTTTTTCTAAATAAAAGCTTTATTTTTTGAGTAATAGGATTTTACGTTTTGAAGAAAATGTTTCTTCTTAAAAAGCACATTTTTTATGACTAAAAAAAATTTCAATAATTTTTTTTTTTTGAAGCTTTCTTTAAAAAAAATCCTTTTTTTCGTTAAAAGAGAAACTTTTATTGTTGAAATAAAGAAAGAAATTTTCTTTCTTGAATAATACTTTTCTTTTTTTTTTTCTTTTCTTTTTTTCTCGCTTGTCGAACAATTATCGACAAGCAAAAAATTGCGTCGAATTTACTTAAAGTGATAAAAAAAAATATTATTAAATCTAACCTAATCAGCCTTCTGTGTGTTCTCGCTTTGCGTGGTACTTGAGCAGTAGCTGCCGATCATTTTTAATGTTTGTTGTTCGAACTGAAGTCAGAATCCTGCTCGGAACTCGAGCTGGAAGACTCCGCAGTAAGATTTGTAGTAAAGCGAGCGCCCCTTCGGCTGGAACTTGAGTGTCGACACTTGTCCCCACGATCAATTCCACCTACAACAGTTGGATTAAACGAATAATTATTATTTTGTACAATCAACTTTTTTACGCTGAAAAACATTTGTCTCTTAAGCTCTGCAGGGTTGCTAAATTAATTAATACGGAAATTTGAAAATTAACCAATTAGAAATTACCAAGAAAATTGTGATTGGTTAATTTTAAAATTTACGCCGAAATTTCTGGCGGCCATTTGCAATTTCGTACAAATGAAAATTCGGCGTTTTAAGAAGTTGATCAAATAACAAATTCGGATAAATGAAGATTCGGTAAATTGGAAATTCTGGGATTTAAAAATTCGAATCACTTAAAATTCTGTCCAATGAGAATTTAGCTAAATTAATATTCGGATAAATTCGAATCTTTTAAATAAAAAATTTGGTAAATTGTAAGAAAAAATAAAAATATCTTTCATAACAACCCTGATGGCTTTTTATGATATTAAAATTTAAATATTTCCTTAGAATTGATACTCACTGGTGTGAAGTTCGACTTTGATGTTGGCAGTGGCTGTGACTTTAGTCGTGATATGAGATGTTGATGGTCCAGATGATGTGTTACATCCATTTGAATCAGATCCGCTACAGTTCTGTTAGTCAAGACAAAAAAAAAACACACTCGTTAGACATGCAAATTTATCCACATCAAAATTATCACAAAATCAAAATTATTGACAATCTTAAATAAAAAGAAAAAAGATAGCAAATAATCTCACCTGATTGTTACACGTGGATGATGTCGTTGTTGTTGTTTCAACTTTAACTTCAGGTTGAACAATAATATTACACGACTCCTGTGTACTGTGCCATGAATTTGGTTCCTCTGTTATTGTTGTTAATGAATTTTCATTGTGCACACGTGAATTATCAATTTTATGTGAACGTCGCGGCGCTGGCGGTGCTTTTATTCGTCTAACAATTGGCGACGCTGGTGGCGTTGGTGTTGATATTCTATCGGGATGTTCATTTGGAATTATTTCCGCCGATGGTCCAATTAATGATAGTAAAATTGGAAAGAAAAAGAAACCATTCACCATACCAACAATAACAGCGCAAAATAATATCAAAAAGAAATAACGTACAACAAAATCAAATTCCGAAAATGCCAACATCATTACAGACAATAGTGTCGTCATTCCGCCATGTAATACAGGAGCAAATGAATATTCTAATGCAAGTTTTGTTCGTCGATCACGACCACCGATTGTCGTTACAAATGCCAAACAAAAATGAATAACAAAAGGAATTGATATTCCCACACTCACTATAAGAAGAACTGCTGGAACGGCACTGAGATTAATATTAAATAATCCCATTATACCAAGAAGTTGTATAACAACTCCAGCGAGATAAAATTGTACAAGTAAAACAGCCCAAAGATTCATTAGAAGAATTGAAGTGATTATTGTAATGACAAATAATGCTGCACCTAATGCATAAGCTAAACATGTTCGTAAATCCATATATTGTTCCCAAAATAAAAATGGTATTCCCGAGGGAAAATTTGGCAATCCACGTTCTTCAAATCGTTTGGAAATTTTTCTCACACTATGTATCATTTGTGTTATTTGAACAGTGTCCGTGAGTTTATGTAAATAAAATGGCATTTGCGCATAAACAATTGGTGAACTTTTTTCAATTTTCAATTCATGATCAATACTGAAGAACCATTCTTTTGGCATTGGTCGAATATTTGCCTGTGAAGCACCATAAGCAAGTGCATCATTCGATGCCCATGCACTCAAATAATTATAAAATCCCCTTGGATTAATAATACCCTCGGAATTAACAAGTCGCACTTGATTTATCAACGATTTATCAATTGGATTATCAACATGACCAGTTTGAACAAGTAGTTTATAGGCCATTATTGTATCGTGCGTTGCATTCTTCTGCCAACCCTCGGCATTCACTAATCCCTTTTTATAATCCTTATCGAAAGCCGTTTGCAATCCTTGTAGCCATTTTCTAAAAAGACTTAACCAAAAATCCGGTAGTCCACCATTGTCATTTTTAATAATATTCTTAACTCTCATAAATGCATCATGATAGTCTTGTAGTAATTTTTGTTTATATGGATATTCAATATCACCGCCAGTCACAGCGAACATACTATAGAAACCAAAATGTTTTGTCTGAGCAGTGAGAAATGCGTGTTCATCAGAATTTTGCGGTGCAATATCAGCTAAATCTAAACCATCTTTAACACGCGTTGCTTGCCAAAGACTAACTGTAAGAATTAAACCCAAAAGCACCATTCCCACTACTTTTGTTATTGGTTTTGTTAAAAATGGCGCATAAATCTCTCTCACCCAACACGTTAACGAGAACCTTAGACAATTATCCTGTGAGCATCCTGTCAATCTATCCTCCTCAGAACATTTATCATCATCAATCACATTACCACCGATCCAATATTCATTTTGTTGATTATCAGTTGTTAAAATTTGCGTACAAGTCTCACGTCTCTCTGGTGGTATTGCTCGTGTCACAGCCTGTTTTGCCTTCACATTATTTAATAGTTTATTATTGTGAATTTTTATTTCCGTCGACACCGATGGTACACAACAGCAAAATATATCCGAACGTCCCGAACGTCGACGTCGTAAATCGAGACTCATCATCGCTGGAAATATTAGCATTATTGCCGCAAGCCCAAAAAGATTTAAAATTCCCCCCTGAAGTGCAAAAATCCTTAACGCTGGTATTGGTATCAACCATGATGAAAAGAATGCAACACCCGAACAAAGTCGAGTGAGAAAAACAGCAAGTCCAGTACGTTTTAAAATAACACCCGTTTGTTCACTGCGATGAACGCCGTTCATTGATAATTCACTGTAGGTATGTGTCAGAAGGAAAATATCCGAGACAGCCAATACAACATTGAGAAATGGTAATGTTTTTGTTGTCACTGCATTAAAGGGTGTTCCAATAATGGCACAAAAACCCAATCCCGATGCTTCGGCAGCGTACACAAGAATTACGCCACCAATTCCAATACCCGATTGTGAACGTACTGGATCACCGCGACGATAGAGGACTACTCCAACATATAGGAACTGTAACAGAAAACAAAATTTGTCATAAATTGAAGAAATTAATAGAAAGCAAAGGAATTAACAGAAAACAAAAAATAATCGAGGAAATTAACAGAAAATGGAATACTTACAATAATTGCACCACCAATAATAACGGCGCTGTAATTGACTTCGCTGTATTTTTTAAGGATATCATTGAGTGTGATTGTGCTAAAGGCATAGTGATTATAGTCCTCGGTGATATTAAGATCAAAACGTTGTTGAACTTCACGACTGAAAGCCCTTTGCCAAGTTTCGAGGATTTTTGTTGCCTTCTCCTGTGACCAGTCAATGAGACGAACTCTTGCATGATTATTCATATAGTCGTAGAATTCTCGTTCGCCCATTAATTGAACAACAGTTTGCAAAGCCTCCGCCTTGATGATGTGACCCGTTCTATTGTGTTTTGCTCCACCTACGACCAATTCCTCTGGCCAGTGCATGTGCTTCGCTGCAAATCCATAACAACCGCCAGTCAATTCCGTTCCAATATCCGGAGGCTACAAAGAAATTAAAATTTAGTAACTTTTTAGGGTTATTTATTGAAAATATACGGACAAAGCCCATTCGTACAGAGTACTATAAAGATACATTATGTTTATTGTATATTAATTGGCTGCATTGTTATTATAATCATTGAAAATTAAGATAGATTTAGTTTGAAATATCATCTATTTCAAAACAGAATTTTAAATATTTTAACAAAGGTTCGAAAGTTTCCTTAGAACCAGGCTGATACCAACTTTGTTTAAAAATTATTTTAATGAAAGTATTCATCCATGTAATATATTAATATCTTCAATTAATTTTAATTGTACATCTAAAAACGTGGAGATTGTAACAATTAATTTCGGACTGTTTTCCTACAAATTCATAACTAATCTTTACGAATTTAATTCTGAAATACAAATTTACTATTATTTCACAAACCGCATTAATTTTCAACTGTTTTCGTACAAATTTAGAACTAATCAGATTTAATTTTGAAAACCAGAATGCAGATTACGGATTTACTGTAGGTTACACAAACCAAATTAAGTTCGAATTGTTTTCGTAAAAATTAAAAAAAATAATCCGAATTCTTCAAACTTCCCATTCCGGGGGTTTTTGGGGTCGCTATTTACGATGTTAGTTTTTCAAAATTCAAAAAGGCGGACAGTATTTTAAAAAATTGCTTTGAATTTGCTTAAAAATTAGTACTCATGGGTTTTTAGGGTCGCTGATTACGAATCCGAAGTCAGAATTCCAAAATTCAAATTAGCGGATCCAATATGGCGGATAAATTATGACAAAAGTATTGGTTTCTTTAAAAAAATATTGTATTTTCGTGCAAATGGGTATTTTTAAGTTTTTGGGGTGACTGATCAGGCATTTTCAATTTTTCAAAATTTTAAGAATCTGACTTTAGATTTAAAAAAAACGTCCTCCATACTGTATCTAACATTTGAATTTTGAAAAACTAACGTCGAATTCGTAATCAGTGACCCCGAAAACCTCCGTGTAGAGAGTTTCAAGCGAATCCGAACAATTTTTGAAAAAAGTCCGCCATTTTGAATTTTGAAAAACTAACATCGAATTCGTAGTCAGCGATCCAGAAAACCCCTGGCTACTAATTTTCAGGAAAAAAATATCACTGCTATTTTCTTTTTCTTGAGAATCATAAAATAATAATAATAATAACAATTGTCAACAAATTAAAAGACAAAGTTTCTTTAAATTCACCTGATGAATAGAATGAAATGAAATAAGATTTTTGACGCTAGGTGACAGCTTGGAATGTGCGACTTGAGACGAATATGTTTACATATGGCGAGAGACGACAACGGTTTGGATCCTGGATCCCTTTTCTCTTCAATCTCGATTACAATGGAAAGATTCTCTTGCGCGGGGTGACACCCGCATGCCAAAGAGAAGACTGAAAACACCGACCTGAGCCCACCCAACGTGCTTATGCATCCCAAAAAAAAATCTCCAAGAATACCTTTTAGATACACAAACTAATTTTTTGTTTCCTTTCAAAATATTTACAGCAAACTAGCGGGTGAAAAATATAGTGCATTGTTAATTTATTTGAATTAAGTAAAATTGAATACTTGGCTAAAATTAAATATTTTCCTTTTCTCATAAAAAAAAAGAAATCTCTTGAGGGATTTTAGACAACATTTTCGACTTTATATGAGTCATCGGATTTTGAAAAGTGGGTCATTAAGATCAAAAAAAAGAATGACAATTATTAATGTGACGAGGATATATATCAAAACTGTATAATGATGAAATGCTATATAGTATTTATTATATACAAAAGGAAGGATGGATTAGATGCAAAAGTGAATGACCACACGTGTGTAATTGTAGGGCACGTAACCGAGGAGAATGTTTCATTGTACATATATTATAATGACGATTGTCTCGTATAATGAAAAACGTGTTTTATAGCTATAGTTTTGATGTCTACTGATCCCTCTCTCTATCATCAATGGACGAGTGTAGAATACTATACGTTTATTGTCTAAATACACACACACACACAGCCATGTGACAAAAATAAACTCAATGTGATTTGCTTTTTAAGAAGCAAAATTGGCTAATATAATCCATTTCTGTCTGATGAATCATAAAAATAGTGTTTAAGATTTATTGATACAACCTAATTTACAATCTGCAGAAACATTTTAACAACGAAAATAATATTAAAAAAAAAACAAACCTGAAAAACAATTATTGATCTTTATAATTGAAAGTAGAACAAAATGCCAGTCATTGAACAGAAAGAAAAGAATAAAAGAATACCGCGTATAATAATTCTCGGAGTCAATTTTAATATAGTCATATAGAAGCGGTAGCCAAATGTTAAGATTGACTTTTGAAAATTTGTGATAACCTCTTCCCCTTGACGACATGTGGAATGGCTAATGAGACGCATTGGAATAAAGAGATGCCGACTTGACAGGCGAACATCGAGTAGAGTTTTACAGCTACCGAAACTAGTTTTTAATTGATCAGCCGGATAATTAAGGACTCGGTTAAGTTTATTATAAGGCGCTTGGATTACGCGATTGAAGAATTCTTCTCATTGGAGGGGAAAATGAGTTAGGAGGGGAAGGGAAGACTTAAGAGTCGCCCTGAAGCAAACACATAAAAAAAAAAAAAAATAGAAAGAAGAAAAAACAAAGATGTGGCAGAAAGACAGAGAGAAAGATGAACTACCCTGTAGGCAAAAAGGGTTGCAGCTGTTTCCTTTTGATAACTTCATTCGCGAGCACAAATACTTATAGAAAAACAGTGGCTCTTAGTGGTACATATATATAGATATACTTGGTATATACCAAAGACAGGTGTACACAACTAATGATCCAGCTAAACACAAACCAGTGTCGCTGATTCTGATTTTAATTCTGTTTCTGGCTCAGATTCTGATTCTATTTCTCGTTCTGATTTTGATTCTGATTCTAATTGTGCTTCTGCTTCTCGTTCTGTACTTTAAATCTGAATCAGTGAAAATTTCACTAATTTAGATTTAGAGTGTGATTTTGTTTCTGTTTTTGATTTTTAAGGTCCAAAGTAGGATCTCAAGACAGGGTCAAGGTAGATTGAAAGTAGGGGAAAAGTAGGTTAAAGGTGGTTTAAAGAGGTTCAAGGTAGGCAGAAAATAAGTTCAAGGTAGGATTAAATTATACTCATAATTGGATAAAAATAGGTTCAATGTTGGATCAAAAGTTAAAGTAGGTCAAAAGTAGGACCAAAGTTCGTTTAATGTTGGGCAAAGTAGGTTTTAGGTATTTCCTATTTTTTAGTTATGGTTTAAGGAAGAGTGAAAGTAGGTTTAAGGTAAGTTTAAAGTGGTGGAAAGTTGGCTTTAAGGTATGGTAAAAATTTGTTCAAGGTTGGTTTGTCTATAAAGATGAAAATAAAATAGGTTAAAGGAGGAATTTAGGTAGATTTAAGGAAGGGTCAAAGTAGGTATAAATAAATACAAGATGCTTTGAAAAAACTTTTAAATTAGGTTCAAAATCAGTTTAACTTTGGGTCAAAAAAAAGTTACATGGTTGAAGGTGGAATAAAAAATAGATTCAACCTAAGGTCAAAATAGGTTCAAATTGGTCGAAATTGCAAGATATTGTCAAAGTAAAGAATTAAGATTTGATTTCTCACAAAAATATAGTGTTTGTAATTTGAATATGACTGAAACTAAAAAGAACATATTTGTTATTGCGTGTATGAGGTGCCATTTGACTTTGGTTTCGTTCAACTTGAAAATATATATATAGGAATATATCGGAGTAATGACATGAGAGAAGTATTTGAAAAGTTTAAAATTACAGGTATGTGTTTGTATATATGTTAATGCAAGTGAAATGACGGGTGCGTAATATGCTGGCGGTGTGCGCACCCGACCACCGGCGTAGCGCAATAATGACGCACATCTCTCGATTTTATTATTTTAATGCTCAACTGTCGACCCACGCGACTCGCATACTCATACGCCAAATTCGCCTGGGGGTTGCGTTCCCAGACGGCTACATTAAATACAATATGAGCGCAACAGAGAAAGAAAAAAGAAGAAATCCAAAAACCAAAACAGGATTAATAACAAATACTCAACCCAATTTTCAACCGGTTAATCTCTTCATTTAAGTATTTTATATTCATTCCAATTGTATTTTCATTATTTCTCTCTTTTCAATTTTCGTATTTTTACTTTCTCGGCTCGATTTTAATTTATTTTTTTACAAAAAAAAATGTCTCTAAATTGTAATAAAATTATTTTTTTAACTCCTAGAATATATTTTTGAAATATATAAATTTAATTGAGCAAAATTTTTTATGAATTTACCAGCAGTCGTGTTATAAAAATTTCTTAATTATCGACGAATAGTCAAAAAAAATAAAATAATTTTAGGTATTTTTGTCTCTCAATGAAAAATAGATAATAATTGCGTTAAAATTGAATTATTTTAACAGTCGACTCACGACTTTTAAAATCGGTGGATTCGCAGATTATTTCCGAATCTCGATTGCCATCGTTCTTGGGACTATTTTTTCGTGAAGGCTTAATTAAATATTCATTACTCGCTTCTTCCCTTGCGATGAGTTAAGAAGGAGAAAGAGAAAGAAAGAAAGAGAGAGAGAGAGAACGGGACAGAAAAGAGAAACATCAAAGCGCTCGAAGCGCTAAGCGAGAACTACTCGCGCACGCAAGGCGCATCGATTGCATCCGCAGAATTCCAAGTGGTCACTTGGCATTCAAAAATAATCGTCGATTGGGAGCCTTTTGATTGTATTCCCAGATTATCATCCTCCATGAGAGGTGGAAATTTTACAGTAGTCCCTCGATAAATGGTCGCTTTATGATTTCCGAGTCTTAAAATGCGTTGTAATAAAAACCACATCATTTTTTTTTCTTTTTTTAATACTCGTTCTGGTGAAAAAAGAAATCTTTAATAATTGTTATTACCAAAATTTTTCGGTTTTTTTATATTATCTTTGTTTTTTAACCTCAGGAATCCATAAATCACATTTTAAGATAAGAATTGTAGACCATGGAAATAATCTAAAAAGAATTATTGTATTTCATATAATTCTAATACACTTTCAAAATCCGGTTTTAAAGCCAAAAAAAACTTTTAGGTTAATTCATGGTATCTTGTAATTTTCTTATTTTTCGTACGATTTGGAAGTTTGTTTTTTCATTTTAATGTTATGTAAAACATTTGTCATAATTCTCGTTAACTACCGCATCCGGCTCTAGTGAAAATTTAGTGACTTTATAGTTACTAAGAAAGTTACTATAAAGTCACTAAATTTTTACTATAGAGAAGGGTGAGATAGTTAACGAGAATTGTGAAAAATGGCAACTTGTTTGCTTCCACGATCCCTTTTCTCGTGGAGTGTCACATATCAAGTTTAAAAGTTTTTTTTTTTTAAATTTTTACATACCAATTTTGTTTGTTTATTTGGCGCCGAATGAGGACAATCGCTGTCCTCTGGATTCAAACATGGTTTCTCTTGATATCCATACGTGATGCCCGCCCTCTTCATATAGATTTCCAATGTATCGAAATCGAAAACTACATTCATTTTTTTGATCTCCTTGAGCAGACGTGTTGGATTCAAGTGTGTCCATTTAAGAACATTTGTCGTTGGAAATCCTCTGAAATAAAAAATATATTTTTATAGAGAAAAAAAACCGTTGGATTATTGTAATCATAATTTTTTTTTATGTCATTATAATTTTTCTTAGAGGCTAAAGTTAATTTTAAATTTACGCGGGCGTTTAGTGGCGCCATCTGAAAGCAAAATTGAGCGAAGTCAGTTTTGTTAGAGTTGGAGTTCTCATTACTACTACTTTTTCTTTGTTCATGTGAAGGCTCGAACAGAATAAGGCCAACGCAGAATAATGAGTTAGAGAAGGACAAACAAATTTGTCTCTCCTTTTCTAACTCATTCTTCCGGTTGCGTTTGCGATTCCGGTTACCGTTCTATTCTGCTCAGGCCTATAGAAACGTAACCGGAATCGTAATCGCAAACGCAACCGGAAGAATGAGTTAGAGAAGGATAGACGTATATGTTTGTCCTTTTCTAACTTATTATTCCAGTTACGATTTCGGTTACGTTTCTATTCTGCATTGGCCTTGAGTGCGATGCACTTTTATCGTTTTCTTTAAGATATCGAAACAAAACTTGATTTAATTAATCCAAATTCATCAAAGTATAATAATAGTTTTTGATAATAAAAAGTTAATCTAATTGTTCATTGGAAATCAGTAACGTCCTAACCGAAAACCGCTTGATTCAGAAAATAGTTTATAATTAAAATTTACTTACTTTATTATGAAAATATTTTCTTTTATTACATACTTTTAATTTTTATTAAATTAATAATTAACTAAACAATTTCTTTTTGCCCGTATATTTTTAATAAATAAATAATTACATTGTAACTGGATGAGTAGGTCCCAAAAGTTTGCTTCCTTCCCAAAAACAGTCAAGAGGTGTAATTATCGAACAGGGTACAATTCGATCGAAAATCTGTAACAAAAGGAAAATTGTTTAAAAACTTTTTTCTCTAATAACATTTGGTACAATTATTATTATTATTAATATTATAATTATTATTGTCAGTATTATTAATAAAATAAAATTTTTTTCATCATTTTATAGAAATTAGTGAACGAATTCTCACTATGCGTAATTCAAAATTAGAGAGTACAATTTTAAATCGTTGAAAAAAATTTTAAAAAAGTCTTTACAAAAGAGAGAAAAGAATGTGATTCTTAGGTATAAATTTGATACTAATATCTCGAATGACCGTATAATAAAAATGTTCCTCATTTTGTAAAATAAATTTTTACTCTTCATTTTTTTTTAACAGCGTCTAAGTTTTCAGGAAACAATAATAATTTTACAAGCGTTAAATAAAACGGCAATAAATTGGTTCTTTTACTAGTTTAATGAAAAAAAAAAGAAAAAAAAATATAAAGGACGTATTTACTCATCGACTTGAAAGCGATTTTTCATGTTAATGTGGATCTTAAATTTACTCTCGACTCCATTCTTTTATAAGGTCCATAAAAGGACTGTTTCGATGCGTTGAGTTGCATAAATTTGAAAAAGCAGGCCCCGTCAGAGCCATTTCGGAAGCGCGTGGCAGCCCAAGAGAGAGAGAGAGAGAGAGAGAGAAAAAAGGATATCTCTTCTCTTTTCTCGCAGGGCTGGGCTATAAAGTCGTTTCGGGTTTTCTGGTCACGACAGGCCCAGGATGGGGGGACCACCTGCGCGTTCTTGGAATGGGGAATAGGGCGCCTCTCGCATTCCGTCTTATTTCAAACGATAACTCCACTTCTTACGACACGCCCAAATAACAATTTCTAGCCTCTAGGAATCATTTTTCAACCAAAAAAACGAAAAAAAAATTATATAAATACATATCAGGAATTGAAAGAGAGAGAGGGAGAGAGAGAGAAAAAAAAACATAAGAGACTTTCAGACATAACGATCCACTCAATATCATTTCGATTTGCATATTACTTTAATCCCCTTCGGATATGAAATATTGGTTTCCATAAAAATTAATGATAACTGCCGAAATTTTCGTTTTCATCGTTAAATATCTGAGGTTTTTTTTTTCTTCTTTATTTTTATAATGAACATATCAAATAGTGATGACAATTTTAAAATCGGGCAAAGGTGTTTCTCCCACTTTCAATTTTTCCGAGTTTTTGAATAAATTCTTCGAAAATTAATTTTACAAAAAAAATTTAATTTAAAATTCTTTATTTATTATTATTTACAAAAAAGATTTTTAACTAATACTCTGAAAATTTCAATTATTTTTAGAAATATTTTTAATCAACTTTTTTTTTATTTTCATTTTAAATTTATTTACCTAATTTTTAAATTAAAAATATATATTTTGATCAATAAATATATTTATATCAATGGAAACTATACTTAAATGCGCCACTGGACTGATGCCCCCATCACCAATTTCCTAAATATATTATGTCATTTGACAAATTTGTTATTTATCGTCGTTTCGTAACTTACGTAATTTTTTCTTTTCTGATGAATTTTCAAAATTACTGATATAATAAAAGTATTGTAGAACAAGCCTTAACAAATTTTAGCTGTTAGTGGGGGAATTTGTCCAGTGTCACATTTGGGAAGTTTTCAATATATGGTTGGTTTCCATTGTCCCCACTCGCCATTTGTCATAATTCTCATCACCTATTGCACCCTGCTCTAGAGGAAAATTATTAACTTTTAATTTTAACTTTAAAGTCACTAAATTTTCACTAGAGCAGGGTGCGGTAGTTGACGAAATTTATGACAAATGGCGAGTGGGAACAATGGAAACCAACCATATAAATATCATTTGAAATTGTCGATTGTCTCGTTTTCGATATATTAAAAATTTTAAATATTTATTATCATATTTATATATTTTATAAAAATTGACTCTAGAAAAAAGTGAATGTAAAAAAGTGAGAGAAAGAGAGAGAGAGGAAGAGAAGCGGGGGGGGGTATTAAGAGAGACTAATCTATATAAGACTTGGTTGCATCGCGTCACGGGAAACCGGAAGTAGCAGATTAAGCGTCGCTCCTGGCCGATCGTTTGAAACACGAGGGGCCCCAGGTATATTTACTAACGTTCACAATTTGCGTATAATGACGGGACCACACATGACACGGGGCAAAACGCGACCATGATGCGAAGCAACCCTCAATTATCCAGAACTAATTGCCTACTCACTTATTTAGTTGAGCAACACACGTCCTCCCCCACTACTCAATATAAAAAAAATAGGGCCCAATGCTTTCTTCTATTTCCCCCTTCTTTTTTTGCAGCGCACACGTCCATTGTCCCCACTCGACATTTGTCATAATTCTCGTCAACTACTGCACCCTGCTCTAGTGAAAATTTAGTAATTTTTTAATTAAAATTAAAGTTACTATATAAAGTCAGTAAATTTTCACTAGAACAGAGTGCGGTAGTTGACGAGAATTATGACAAATGGCAACCTTCCGATGCTAATGTCCCCACTAAACAATGTTCCCATTTATCATAAATCTCTATCAACTACCGCACCCTGCTCTAGTGACAATTTTGTGACTAAAGTAATTTTAAATTTTAACTAGAAAGTCATTTAATTTTCACTAGAGCAGGGTGCGGTAGTTGAACAAGAATTGTGAAAAAATTGCAAATAGGAACATTGGCATATGGAAACAGGGCAAGCGATAGAAAAGAACAGACATAGTTTCTGTCTTTTTCTATCTCATTTTCCAGTCTTCTGTTCCCGTATACGTCAATTAATTCTGCTTTCCGTTGGTTTCCATTTTCCACTCACTATTTGTCATAATTTTCGTCAACTACCGCATCCTGCTCTAGTAAAAATTTAGTAACTTTTAATTTTAACAAGAATGTCACTAAAATTTAACTACAGCAGGGTGCGGTGGTTGACGAAAATTATGACAAATGGCAAGAATGGAAACCAATCTTTAAACTATACGCCACGAACTAATAAAATGATTATAGAAGTGTCACGAATTTTCAAAATGCTGTCAGACCGGAAATGACAGCATATATGCAGTTGGATGTAATAATAATAATAATAAATATTAATAATGATAATAGGAATAATAGAAATAATAATAAATAAATTGAAAAAGTAGTAGGGAAAGGGTGGGGGGAAGTTGTGTAGAGACGAATGTGCATGAATGTAACTTGTGTGTAGCGCGCCCACGTGATACGGTTGGCTGCACTGCCTCCCGGGACTCCATCTATCATTCCGCATGAAACGTGCGCGCGCGCGCGAGCGGATACCTGGGTTCGACGAATTCAAGGGCATTACCAACCAAGGCGCCCTTCGGACGCTCCAAAGATCCAAAGGGACCCGCTCTCAAAGACCTCAGGAATCGATATATGTATTGACCATTTTGTCGTGCTTTCGACCGATACAACGATTTATCGATAGTAGGCACACCAAAGAAGACGGTGAACGATAGGGTGAAGGGGGAGGGGAAATGAGGAAACAATTTACTTCTTCCAAGACAATCAATTTTACAATATATATATTGATTGACAAGTAGAAAGAAGACTTGACTGTTTTAAAACAAAAAAAAAAAATTATTTTTAATTTTTTTAGTACTTATTTTTTATAATCAAATTAGATAAAGCAAAAAAAACAGTAGTAGAAAAATTTACCTCGTCGACGAAATGTTCTTCAAAGCTTGGTATACTTGGGGCGTAACAAAAGTCAGTCAGCCTCCACGTTCTGTAAAGAAAAAAAAATATTTTTAATACCTTCTGTAATTTTTTTTAAATAGTTAATAATTAAATAATTCGATTTTTTAATTAGGAGGGGAAATTTTTCACATAGTTGACAGTTTGAATGAGTGGGAGAAAATATCAGTAGAAAAATACAGATGTTAAATGACAACCCAACCCTGTGTTGATGGGAATTGAAGTCCTAAGGGTTGGTTTCCATTGTCCCCACTCGCTATTTGTCATAATTCTCGTCAACTACCACACCCTGCTCTAGTAAAAATTTAGTAACTTTTAATTTTAATAATAAAATTACTAAATTTTCACTAGAGCAGGGTGCGGTAGTTGACGATAATTATGACAAATGGCGAGTGGGGACAATGGAATCCAACCGTAAGCACAATTCAGAACATAAAGCTTAGGGCTTTAGAAATTTACAGCAGAAGTTGGTATCCATTGTCCCCACTCGCTTTTTGTCATAATTTTCATTAACTACCGTACCCTGCTCTAGTGACAATTTGTTAACTTTTAATTTTAACAATAGTCACTAAATTTTCATTATGGCAGGGTGCGGTAGTTGACGAGAATTATGTCAACGTTGGTTTCCATTCTCCACATTCGCCATTTGTCATAATTCTCGTCAACTACCGCACTCTGCTCTAGTAAAAATTTAGTGATTTTATTGTTTGAAATTGAAAGTTACTAAATTTTTTACAAGAGGTAAAGTGCGGTAATAATAACAATTAAAATAAAAAAAATACCCTTTGTGTATTTTCATTTGAAAATCACAAACATAACCTAAAAATTTTGGTACATTTTATCATGGCGCGTCACATTTATTAATATAAATAATATAATTAATTAATTTAATCGAGAAAGAGCAAAAATTGTTGTTTAGAGTTAAAAATTTTTTCTCAACTTACATTTCGTATAAGTCGACTGTGACTTGTGTCGCCACTTTGAGCACCTCTAAGTGTTCTAACAGGGCCGCAGGTTGTAAAACATTTGCCCCTGGCACCCGGGGCGTTTGAATAACCAGCTGTTGTGTCGATGTTGTCGCTTCTCCGAGAGTTTCGGCCGCATACAACATTTCCTTCTCCAATCTTCCACCCTCTGAAAACAGAATAAATAGATAAGAAAAAAAATAATTTTTTTCCCTTTTTTTCATCGACAATCTAAATAAATATATATTTATATTTTTCTCAAATCATTTATGTGTATTGAAATATTTATTTAGTTCAAATAAATAGAATAGTTTTTTAACTCTTGCCAAAATTATAATCTGTTTTGTATTTTTTAAATCAAATAAATATATGCATTGCATCTGATACGAATAGATAGTTTTGAAAGAATGTAGGAACTTCTGTGTTGCTTAGTGGTTAGTGGGTAGGACTTTAGAACGTTAGGTTGAGTGCTCGATCCCCGGTAGCGGCAGATATTTTTATAATGTGTTTAACATTTAAAATATATACCATTATCGTATAATAATAATAATAATAATAATATAGTATTCATAATAATTATCAAAATAATAATAATATTAATAATAATAATATACAGAAGAATAGTAATAAAAGTAGGGATAATAATTTTTATGAAAAATTTGTAAAAGTTTTTAAATAAAAGTATTATCTAAACGTAAATAAAAATTTATAATTCATTTGTAAATAAATTTAATTAAAATTATTTCAATAAAATTCTTTTTTTTTATTTATAATTTATATTTTTTTAAATTTATTTACTTTTTTTTTTTTCTTAACATGCTTATGATTGAATGAATCGGGGTAAGAGAGGGGAGGGTGAAAAAAAAATCGGAAGTGCAGTAATTCCAAGGCAAAGTTGGATATATATATATATATATATATATATATATAATGTGCGCAAGTTACAGCTGATTGTGAGTACAATCGAAGGTTGAAACTCCACCTAGTTGGATTTCACTGTCAAAAATGCCGACGGCGTATTTGCTCGTTTCGCTACGGCGGGGCTCTCGGGACCACCGGCGTTGCGCGGTTCCCCCCAATGGTTCTCAACCCGCTCTCTTTCAAATAAAAATATTATATAGATAATTACAAATATACATACAAAAATATTCATAGATCATTAATTTTTTTTTAATTTTGAATAAAAAATTTACTTTTTTTTGTTATTAAATCTTAACTATTGTTTAGAAAAAAAATTACTGTCTATTTATCTATTTTTTAAAACTTTTTATTTGATTTGCATTATTTTTTGAAAAAATGTAATATTGTGTACGAATTTTTGTAAAATAAAGTTATTTGAATATAATATATAAATAAAGCCACACACCGTGAATAATTTCTGACAAATATATCCAATTCTCTCTCGCGCTCTTTCACATTGAATGTCAAAAGGAAAAATGTTGAAAAGTTCTCGTAAAATTTAAAACTCCCCCTCTCTCAACCCCCCCGGGAATTTGACAAAAGGACCGTCCGCCAGAAGGTGAAGAAGCTGTGTGCTCAGATTTCTACAGCGCGAACATAGTGGATGCAGAGAGCGAGAGAGAGAGAGAGTGAAGGTCGAAATCTCTGGGTAGTCCATCTTTCGAAAATATTCAACTTCTGCATGCTAGGATGTCACTCTCTCAGCAGGATTCAAAAGGTTCTTCGAGAAGAGAGAGAGAGAGAGGGGGGGGAGGGGGAGAAAAGAAAATCTTTCGAACAGTTTTTCTTGCCAAAAACGTTGTCCATAGCATGTAAACGACATTCTTCATTTATATATAGATATAAAATCTGAAAATCTCATCAGGGGGTCACAAAACAAGAGAAGCCTTATTATAGTGAAAAAAAGCCAAGATATAAACATCAAAAATTTTCCAAAGAAAAAAAAAAAACGTTTCAAAAGTCTCGGGGTCATCAGTTCACCAAAAACCTGGGGGGTCGTCGAGGAATTTCCTTCTCTCCCTTCATCTCTCAACTTTATTATATTATTGTATTTTTAACGTATCTATTTTTAAATTTGACTAATTTTTCTCCTTTTAAAATTGTTTCTTTTTCACACTATCATTTTTTTTCAATTTTTTTTTTAGTTTCTATTTTTATTAGGATATCAATTGTCAATAGAATTTTTTTTTACAGAAGAAAATAAATTTTCTTCTAATTTCAAAATCGGTTTTGGGCTTTTACTCCGTATATTTACCCCAGAGAGATAAGAAATAGAATACGCTCCATACGAGAAGAGGGACCTTAAATTTTAGATTATGTTTTTTGATAAAGAGTTTCTAATTAGATAAAGTTAAAAATTTATTGAATTTTTCGAATTTAATAAAAATTTAAAAATCTATTTTCACTTAAAAAAATTACAAACATAACCTAAAAAAATTTTTTTTACCATAAGGTCCCTTTTTTCTTGGATCGTCACATATTAGAAGAGAAAAAAAAATAGAAAATGGTCCATACAGAGGGAGGGAAACTAAAAAAAAAAGAGAAAGAGAGAATTGGCTATAGGTGGAGAGGGACGAAAAGACTGAGTGAGAGAGAAAGAAAGAGATCTCTCTTGATTTATCGCCGGGGCGTCTCTGTAATTATTTCTTCGTCCCTGTCCCTCGCGAGTGGCGTAAGAGAGATCCCGTGTATCCTTTTCTGTATACCCTTCCGGCTACCGTAATTGCCCGTAAGACTGGTTCCGTCTCTATTGCTCCAGGGCCACGCTGAACGGCGGCCTCTCTGTCGGGTGCCTCGCCATTCAGCACAGGCGGTCCTATACTGCATTGGCTCCATTGTTTCGTCAAGTTTATCCTCTAGCGTCCCTTATTCTCTTCAAACACGATTTTTTCCATTTTTTTTTTTACCATCCCTTCAATAACACTTGCAAGATGTTTTTTTGCCCACTAAAAAAATATTCCCTCCTTTCTTCATCCCACAACCCAAAAACAACTTTTTATTACGCGTTTATTACTAAAAGAAAAAAATTCGTCCTCTAAAGTAAAATCTGACTTATGGGGCAGTGCTGACTCTCTTCGGGGCACTAAATTTTAAAGAAGACAGCAAAATTATTTAAACACCGAAAGAAGAAAATTCTAAAATTTAGAATATATACTTGGTCTGAAGTCTATTTAACCCCATTACGTTAGGATTTTGAAAAAAAACTCAAATAATCCCAAAATTTTGAAATCAACACGGAGAAAAGTGGAAAAACGAATAAAGTAACTTTTACTATAATTTAAAAGTAAAACCTTAACTGTCCGCAGTTTCTGCGTATTTCTGGCAATTTTTACTCCAGAAATAGTAAAAATTATTCTTGAAATAATAAATTTTACTGTTTCTGGAAGTAAAAATTGACATAAACTGCGGATAGTTGAGGTTTTACTTTTAAAGTACTAAAAGTTACTTTATTCGTTTTTCCCTTTTTCTCCGTGAAAAAAAATCTGATTTATAAGTCTCATCATGTCTACTTTATGTTTTTGTGGTCGCTTAAGCCAAATCTGAAGTCTATTAAACCTCATCACGTCAGGCTTTTGACATCAACATAAAAAAAACATTAAAAAAACAAGTTATGGGATTATTCGAGGTTATGTCAAAAGCCCGATGTAATGGGGTTAAATAGATTTTAGATTTGACTATAGCAACCCCAAAAACACAAAATACAATGTAAAAAATTTAGGGAGTTATAACAGCACTAGGAGTTGGGAGTTCGATTTTTCGAGTTAAAAATCAACTCGAAAAAGGAGTTAACCAAGAGTGGAAGGGAGTTTACTATCAACTCCCTTTTGAGTTATTTCATTGTGGAGGATCATATTCTCCAACTCGTGTAAGGAGTTAAAGTTGAACTCACTTTGCTTTAACTCCCCAATGAGTGGGACTTTTATAGCATCCTCTAGGAAGTTGAAATTCAACTCCTTTTTTTTACAGTGTAGACATGCTAAGACTTATAAATCAGAATTATTTTTATTTCAAAATTTTGAAGACGAATTTTCAGGTTTTTAGAGGTTACGACAAATACCTCACGTGATGGGGTTAATTTGACTTCAGATTCGCTTTCAGCAAAATTATAATGTTCTAGAAAGAAAAAACGAAAATTACTCAAACTTAAAGCCAACACTTAAAAAGTAGGATGTTCCAAGGAATACATTATACCAGAAAATAATTTCTAGAAAGGAACAAAAACAAGAAGCAAAAAAGAAAGGGAGGGGGAAATATATTTTCGGAATATGTTTTCCTTGGGCAGTGCGCCTAAACTTCTCTCTCTCTCTCTCTCATATATATAGTGATCAATAACTGTTGAGGTCTAATTGGCAGCGCGTATAGTTTCTAATTAAAGGGAACTTCCAAATTGCGAGCGGCGCTTCGGATATATATATATATAGAAGAGAGAGAAAATATTTTATGCAGTGAAACAAGTTTGTACATGGTCAGACAAATTTACAACGTTTAAAGAAAAGAAAACTAAAAGCAAAAAATTCTTATATACTGATGACTTTCTTTCATGTATTTTATTTCTGTGGGCAGGAAGAAAATGAGCAGCTTTTACAAAGAAGAAGTTCCTTTTTCCTGTTTGTATTATAAGATGGAGGCATTAATTTTTGACAAAAATAGAAATGTCAAAGAACGAGAGAAATCAATCTCTTCATGGAAAATGGGTCTTAAATGACATGTGTGTGGTTTTTGCTTTCAATATGTTCTCTTCCTGTATAGGTTCCTTTTTTTTTTTAGAAAAAGGAAGTTTTCACATCAAGAACGGAAATAAGATTTCTTAATATATAATTATCTATCCTTCTTTAATCATTATGTATGATTGATTCGCAATGAAATTTTTTGAATATGAGAGCAAAATTATAATGTGGTTTAAATAGTTTTTTTTTTCGTCTTTTGTATATCCTTCAAAAAAGTTATCGGAATACGCATTATTTAAAATAGATGAAATTAATCTCTAAATTTAAATTAGTAAAAATTTTAAGTAATTTGAATTAGTGACTCATTTTTTGCCTTTCAATTAGTTAAATTTTACTAATTTGATAATAAAAACATTTTTCAATATTAATTACTTAAATTTGACTAATTCAAAAACGAAAAACTAAAGGTGACTCAGTAATTCAAATTACTTAAAATTTTTACTAATTCAGATTTAGAGAGTAGGTTTTAATTCTACCTGCT